AATTCAAGCTTTTAGACTGGTGGTATTGGTATTGCTTGGCACGTCTGTGTAGAAATAGGAACTGTAACCACATACGATTTAGCAAAGAGCGAGGGAAATCCTGTTCCAGAAAATATTCTTGGAAAGAGTTTGATGCAGACTAGAAGTCTTGAATCATTTAGAGACAAAGTGGTAATTTCCTAAATAGGTTTTCAGGAAGGTAATGAGCTCATTGCAGATAATATCATTTGCACCATTTGTTGATGCTACTCAAATAAACGGTTTCTGTTGGTATATTTAGTCATTTGTAGGCCGAAGTTCTACATCATAGGGAATGTAGTGGCATTCTTTGTTTTGCAGGGTTTCCACTTTCTGGAAAGTCAAGGGAATAGATATTGGTCTGGGAAAGTCAGGGAAATTGATCTGAAGTCAGGGTTAATCAGGGAAATTGTGATTAAAATATATTCAAGCAGTGGATTTTTGACCTGCTGATGCAAGAGCATGATCTGTTCTTGTGGCAACTGGAATAGAGAAGCAGCAGAATACAAGTAAAACTTAATGATACCCTTTCCCAAATCCACCTTTTTCTCAGCTCCACCCCCCAGCAACCAACCTAATGTGTTTGTTGAGCTCTATCCCTTCATGATTCCCAAGGTCTGCCTATAGCATTTGTAAAGCAATGCTAGTTTAAACATGTAACAAGATAGTACACACTTTAAACATCTAATTGTTTTCATCCTTACCTGCTAGTACTACATTTAACTTACATATAAAGATAAGCATGTTATTGAGTCATGCTTGTTTTTTGGAATGGACGCTTTGTCTCCTGCTAAACCCAGCACAGAGTTGCAAATGAGTTTTGCTGCTGTTGGATTTCACATTCAACTATCACTTTCTACTTTGCACCATGCAAAGTGATTTTTTCCAATTTTATTCCTTGTTCCTGTTGGAGTTTACAGAGTACCAGCTCTCTCACCCTCTTCCCTGACTTTTCCCATGCATAAATGTTACAAATGAGGGTTGTCTGCTTCTCTCGATTGCAGAAATGATCTGCAAGCATTTAAGCACCACCTCCTTTCTTGCAGCTTTAGAAAGTTCCTACAGTGGGAGAATGTTAAGTGCCTTGATAGAGCTATGACTGTTTTTGACAACATCAAGAAGTATGTGGAAGAAGCAAAACTCCCCCACAGTAAACCTTCAATTTATAAAGAAGCTGCAGTGCAAGATCCATCCATGAAGTGCAAAATGGCTTTCATGAAAATGATTGCTGTAGATTGTGAGCCATTTCTATCAAGGTTTCAAAACCAAAAACAGTTGGCACCTTTTTTTTTGTATGAAGAACTTTGTAAGCTAATCAAGAAGCTCATGAGTTGCTGCATAAAATCAGAAAAGCTGCAAAATGTGTCTTCTGGTTCCCAGTTGCTAACAATTGTCATGAAATTGTCTGAGAACTTGCTCGACAGAAGCAAGGTTGACATTGGCTTTGCAGCAAAGAAGCTGTTGAAAGAAACTTAAACTGAGTGAACATCAAGTGGCCAAGTTTTGCCTAGAGTGTCGAAACATGGTAGTAGCTGTTGTTGAAAAGTTGATTGAGAGAAGTGCTTTTAAGTTCAAGATGGCATGTGGCCTTATCAGTATTAGAGCCTACTATCATTTTACACAAGCCAAATCTTGGAATCACCAGAATAGGGGCTGTTGTTGAAGTTCTACATGAAGCAAATCAGATCAATGACACAGTAGCGGAAAAATCAAAGCAACAGTACACTACTTTAACCACAGCTGCCCACAATGAATTCAAGGCTCAATTTCAAGCATATGTTGCAAAACATAATGATGAAGTTGGACTGGATATGTTTTACACTGGTATTTTGATGTCCAACAAAGGTTTCTTAGATCTGTGGGCTGTTGTCAAAATGTGCTTTACTCTGTCACATGGTAATGCTTCTGTTGAAAGTGGATTTTCAGTTAATAAGTCAATGTTAATTGAGAACTTGCATGAAGAAACTGTTGTCTGTCAACGCCAGATTTACGATGCTATCCTGAACTGTGCAGGACTTACACCTGTTGTAATTGATATGAATCTATTGCAGTCAGTTAGGCATGCTCATGCACGCTGCACAGAGCACTTAGAGGTTAAACACAATAACCAAAAAGAAGAAATTCAGACGAAAGAAGAAAAGAAGAAACTTGAGGGACAAACTAAATACCTTGAAAATGCTTTTTAAAAAAGACTGAGAGAAGAAACCAAAATGGAAGAGCAAACAATTGATGAGAAATTAAAAGAGTTACAAAATTAAAAGAGAAAACTGTAGAAGTGATAGTTTTATATTATAAATCTTTATTCTTTAAAAATAGATTACTTGCATTCTAATTTCTAACTTGATTATTACTGCAATTTCAAAACGTGGTTTCAGAGAAACCATTTTAGATAGAACATTTATATAATTTTAGTGTACCTTTAAAATAGTAACAAAAATGTTAAATAATTTGTTAGCATTCAGAGTTTACTTGAATTGAAGTTTGTATCTTGGTGTAATTTTTGGTGCAGTTGCAAAACTGATGTTGCTGCAGTTAATGTTGAAAGAAGCTGATATTAAATCTCTTACTTTGACAAATTTTTTTATATTTGTGTAGACTTGTGTAGTTGTAGAATGGAACATTTCATTAAGACTTGCATGAATGCAACAGGACCTATTCATGTTTAACTTGTGGTTACATTTGAATGGTGGTCAGGGAAGTTGATAAATGTTGGTCAGGGAAAGTCAGGGCAATGAAAAATAGAATTTCAGTGACCATCCTGGTTTTGCCTTTCTTACAAAGTCACCTTGCTTTAAAAAAAACCTGTTCTTAGCAGCCTGTATCAGCAGATAAACAGAACATATAGCATTTCTGTAGAGCAATCTACACAACTTGTTACATGGAAGATATGTTGAAATGCTGGTCCCACAATATCACCCCCTTCCCTCGCCCCTGACCAGTGACCTACTCCTGACCAGTAACTTTTTTCACTGTTGTTTGATTTAATCAATGCATCAATCATACGAAAAGAATAGTATTAGCTTTGATTGACATGTACACCCCGGAATAATTTCTAGTTATATGTGGATAAATTTGCTCCTTCAGTTGTATTTTGTGTGTAGTTTAGGAGTATTACCACCATACATGATGGAAATCTTACACATTATAGCATTTCCAAAAAATACAAGAGTAATTCTCATTTACCACAATGTTGTGCAGTATGGATTATTGATGGAACAGAAAAATGTTAATGCTAAAGGGTATTAGAGGCATGGAATGCAGCATGGTGGGTTGTTGTTTGTTTTGTTTTGTTTTGCTGTGTGCCCATCAATGAACAGTCTTAATAAAAAGCCTGTCTGCCAAATGCCTTTGTTCCCCTTCATTGCTTGGAGAAGTAACAAATAACAGAGACACATTGTTGTTACAGTGGTGCCTCGCTTAACGGCGATAATCCATTCCAGGAAAAGCAGTGTTAAGCGAAAACATCGCAAAGCAAAAATAAAAAGCCCATTGAAACGCATTGAAAACCATTCAATGTGTTCCAATGGGCTAAAAACTCACCGTCCAGTGAAGATCCAATATATGGTGGCCATTTTTGGTGCCTGTATAGCGAGGAATCCGTCTCTAAACACAGCGGGGAGCCATTTTAATTACCGAATGGCCATTTTAAAACTGCCAATCAGCTGTTAAAAAAACATTGTTTTGTGAAGAATCAGTTCTGGAAGCAGGGAACCAATCATTGCTAAGCAAAAAACCCTATTTAGACCATCGTTTTGCTATCGCAAAAGCGATTGCAAAAATGTTGTCGTGAAGCAAATTTGTCGTAATGTGGGGTAATCATAAAAGCGGGGCACCACTGTACTTTGAAAATGTAGTAAATTGCAGCCACGGTCATATAGGCTTGAAAGTAACTCTGCTCCATTTTTGTTACTGCAAAATATAAGGCATAAAAGACTTCTGGGTCATCTCTACATATGTGCTTTGATAATGCTGCTGCAGGCAATGTAGTGTTTTGTGTTGTGGATGTTAGTATGCAAGAGGAAATAAACCTGCAATTTCAGGCCAGGCTAATGGTTGGGATTAGGATCCTATTATTAGTTACCATATTTTTCGCACCATAAGACGCACTTTTCCCCCACAAAACGGGGTGGAAAGTCTGTGCGTCTTATGGAGCGAAGAAAATAGATTATATTTTCCTGTTTTCTTCTCCTAAAAAAATTGGTGCGTCTTATGGAAAGGTGCATCTTATGGAGTGAAAAATACGGTAAATGAACAAACAAGCAAGCAAAGAAGCAAAAATAAAAGAGGGAGAATTACTGGAGGTCTTTGTGGAACAAACAGGAAATGAAGCCAGTTGCACCTTCTTTAGAAATATGTTTTAAATATTAAACTTTATTGTGATTAAAAATGGAAGATCAACCTGCACCTGATTACTCTTTTTACTCATGAGTGTTGCAACCCAGTCAGGTCTGCAGTGATAACAGCAGTTTGGGGATAAGTCAGCATAACCGTGGTGTGTGTACACACAGTGATTCAGGCACATTCTTTTCTCTGTTTCCTACTCAAATCAGCAACAAGAACACTTGCCTTGTAGTGCCTATTAATGTTTATTCAGATGACCCAAGGAATATGGGCTGATACGGTAAGGGAAATTCCCTCTTCAGGTAACTGCTGACCATAGCAGCAACTTAATGTTACTTTATAGTAATGCTGATGCGGAGGCCTCTGATTGTGTCTTTGTTCTAATACCATACATATTGCATGCTGTGGAGGGCACTTCTGGTTGACCTGCAAGATCATAGTTACAAAATTGCCATAAAGGAGAAAGACAGAGCAGAAGAAGGGATCGTCGGTTGCCACATGGGCCATCCAAAAACATGTGATAGCAGTAGCGGTAGTTGCTCTAGAGAAGCCAGTAGTTGTATAAAGTCAACTGGAAGAATGAAAACAAGAATGTATCTAGTTTGTAAGTAGGTGTCCAAAGCAAAAAAATGAGGTTGCCATAACGAGGGAATATGATTTTATTGGGAGCCCAGGTTTCCTACAACACGTGTATGAAAGAGCTGGCCAAGTTAAATCTCTGGATTTAACACGCTTAGTAATATATTTGTAAGTAGTACTCTGTCCATTAATACTTACTTAGTAAATAAGTTTGAGTTGATGACAATAATTTATGAATTATTCAAGTGAGAATTGATGAAGAGCAGCAAGTGGTATGTCATAAAAATAAGTCATACAGTATGAATGTTCAGATATTGGTGTTATTGGTGCTTTGTTCCTTGGAGACTCATTCAAACAATATGAATTTAGTCTACTAAAGTTTAGGAGGAAAGTGTGAGAACAGATGAGAAATTGCACCATCAGAAACTTGCTGTCCTGTAGATCTATGAAAAGAATAGAAGGTGTAGAAGGCATTCACTAAAACACAGCTGCTGCAAATATAAGGAAAAACTACCATGGATCCTACACTTTTGAGATGAGAGAACAAAGGATCTTTTCCTTCTGCTTAGGGAAACGGACACTAAGTAGCTTGCTTTCCAGGGGACTCAGCGCAGGAGTAGAAGGTGCTGAAACTGGGTCATTCATTAAGATGTATCTCCTGCAAAGGACAGAAAAATGCAACAGATCATCAGTTGGTCAGCAATTGCTTTTGATTACCTTTAAATATATGATGGCAATGAACCTGAAAAAAAGAAGATGGATAGGGATAGAAAAATATAAAGCAGGACCCCCTTATCCATGGGATCAATATTCACTGATTCACATATCCATAGTCTGAAAATATTAAAAATATTAAAATAAAATAAAATACAGGAAAAAAAAACTATTTTCATATGTATTATCAGAACTGGCCACTAAAGAGAGCCAGAGACTGTGCTATGAACATAGTGGTGCCTCAACTTACAAACGTCCTGACTTATGACCATTTCGAGTTGCGACCAGCTCCGGCCACAAAATTTTGCTTCAACCTGAAGCCGGAGCTTCGAGTTGCAACAGGAAAAAGGTAGGGGAAAAAGGCAGGGAATTGAAATTTGCTAACTGTTGGTGGCGAAGAGGCTGCTTCTTTGTAGCTCTTTCACCCCAACGGTTAGAGTGAGGGTGTTGGAGGAGGCTTTGGACTGCCTGGTGCTGCTGGTGCTGCTTGCTGCTCCTGAGTAAGTACACTTACTTCGTTTTGCAGGGTGGGTTTGGGTTTTGGGGAGGGGTTATGTTTCTGTGCTATGGTGATTTTTGTGTTTTGGTGTGTGTGTTTTCCCAGCCGCATCGCGTTGTGATGGGGCTGGCTGTGTGTGTGTGGGGGGGTTCTTTTTGTTTTTTTTCCCCCACAACCCCATGGCATTCCAATGGGGCTGACTGTGTGGGGGGGTTGTTTTTTAGTGTTTTTTCTCAGTTTTTTTTTTTTTTGGTTTAAAACAAATTTTTTTTGGCCCCAACGCGTTCCTATGGGGCTTGCAGGGGGTTTTTTTGTGGGTTTTGGTGTGTTTGTTTTTCGGTCCCAGAGCATTCCTATGGGGCTTGCAGTGCTTTATTTTTATTTTATTTTATTTATTTATTTTTGTATTTTTTTCTGCTGGAACGGATTAATCGTGTTCCAATACATTCCTATGGGAAATTGTGCTTTGACTTACGGCCATTTCGAGTTACACCCATCTTCTGGAACTGATTATGGTCATAAGTCGAGGCACCACTGTACTTGTTAATGAAGAATACACAACATGGTCTCTGATGCCCTCTAATTGGTAATGCATGTGAAAACATTTTTTCTGGTTTTTTCCCCTTTTACCACACTCTATAGTGTTTGCTATTATCCATGGTTTTCAGTATTCTTGAGGGGGGGTGCTTGGAATGAATTCCCTGTGGACATGAGGGTTCTGCTGTACTTTCAAGATTTAAAACTATGATTTCCAATGACTTTTTTTCTGTCTCATTGTGATGAAGCATCTCCTAACATGTTAAGATTAGATTTTTAATTTTGTTTTTATGTTTACCACTATTAATGATAGAGAAATTCAGAATTGGAGGATTCATGAGGGCGAATGATAGCTCAGTGGTTTAGATATCTGGTTGCAGAGCCAAAAGCTAGGAGTTTGATTCTCCAGTGTGCTTTTCTGACAGAGGTTGGACTCGACAATCTATAGAGTCCCTTCTAGCTTTGCAGATTTAAGATTAAGATTAAAAGAAGAATGGAAGAGTTCACTGCTCAGCCATAACAAGGTCTATGGAAGATAGGGTCAAATATTTCCAGTTTAATAGAATAGAATTTATTTATTACGGCCAGGTGACCAGTTTAATAGAATGTTTTGTCTTCAGTACAGTTCCTTCAAAGCTCCTGTGCTGGAGCAGTTCACTTGCAAATAAACTCTGTCATGATCAATTACAGAAACATAAGGAAAGCAAACTAATTTGCAATATGTAGATTGAAACTAGATTGCACTTGGATAAACAGCAATTTATTAACTGTTAAAGGGGATCTGCTGCTAATGATGTGCTAGTTATATTGTCTAGTTCAGAATCTCAGAATCTTGCTCATAATGAACCAAAATACTGCTTCTAACATTTTGAAATCAGGTTTAGAAAAAGTGATTTCCTTCCTTTTCTTTCTGAATTGTGCTTTTTGAAATCATATATTCAAGATTGTTCATTATTGAATGGCTGCTCAAAACTTCCTCCACCTGTAAACAAGCTGAATACACATCCATTATGCTGTCAACAAAAGCTGAAGCTCCAAGTCATGAAGTACAGCATGCCCTTTGATAAAACACTTAAAACAGGGGAGAGAAATGGGACAACAGATTTCAAATGTCTTACAAAATTCACAAAACCAAGTGTAGGTTGCTAAGTAGTACAAGTGATTCAATGAGAAGGAGAATTTTCATCATTCTGAGGCCATTCCAAATCAAACGAATCAGAATTCACATATAATGAATTATCAACAGTTGAGCTTTTATTTTCCTTTTACACCCCATCAGCTTAAATCAGAGGTGAAGAACTGGTGGACTACAGATGTCTTAGGACTGCAACTTCTCCAGGTTTTGGTCAGTATAGCCAATTTGTTGGGTGATGGGAATTCCAGTCCAGCAAAATGTATAGAGCCACTAAATATCCACATAGGCTTGTCTCATATTTGCATATGATAAGAATGGGTTTCTACACATTTTAAAATTCATGAAGTACAGTGGTGCCACGCAAGATGAATTTAATTTGTTCTGCAGTTAATGTTGTCTTGCGAAAAATTCATCTTGCAAAATGTGTTTTCCCATAGGAATGCCTTGAAATATAATTAATGCGTTCCTACAGGCAAAAAAAAGTCAGAACAAAGTCAAATTTGGTTTACAAAGGGTTTATTAAAGCCATACATATTGTGCAGATTATTTAAAAATTTTCAATCAAAAAACTTTAACTTTTTAAACATCATAGAAAACATTTAAAAATCAGCAAACATGAGGCAGGAACAAAAAATGGAAAACATTCATCTTGTGAAGCATGGCCATAGGAACATTTGTCCTGCGAGTCAACCCCATTGCCAAAACCATTTGTCTTGCGAGTTTTTTGTCCTGCAAGGCATTTGTCATGCGGGGCACCACTGTATTTATAAGAGAAGAGAAACAGAGGGCACAAAGCCCTGAATTGGTGCTGCTGGGAAATTATACAAAGTATTTTTATTTTAAATCATTCTTGGATCAACAGAATACTGGGTTTTGTTTTGTTTTATTCAGAGAGAACTATCTTGTCATTTGCTTCTTTCAATGAATTTTTCTCAAACAAAGGGAAATGACCCAGGGTTTGTTTTTCATACTACATGGGCCAAAATCCTCTTACCCCTGTACAGATCAACCTTCCAGTTCTACATCACTTTGAGGCTTGCCTTGCCCTTCATTTTTTCCTGGCGGCTTTATTTTTCTCATCACTAGAGAAGGGTGTCAATGTATAACTAACACTGTCCAGCATCTGTTCCTATAGAAGTTGTTTTAGTTTGTTTTTTGCTTTATAACAATATTTAGATAAACTCATACTATGTATTAAATCAGGGGTCCCCAATCCCTGGTAAATGGCCCGTGCCAGTCCATAGCCATGGCTGGACCAGGCTATGGAGACAAATCTCCTGACCCCTTGCACACACTCCCCCCATTAACCCCACATGCAAACACACATGTTCTGCCCCCCCAGGCATGTGCACACGCGTAGCCTGTAACATACAGCTCTGCTCTCACCTGTCCGTCACAGCTGAGCAGGGGAACATCAGCCAATGAGAGGACGGAGTGTGGTGCAGAAGGGGGAGGAGCTGAATTATATAAGGGGTGTGTGATGTGTGAGGGAGAGTTTTGGAGTTTGGGGAGATGAGAGAAGTTGTTTGAGAGAGTGGGATAGATCCGTGAGAGTTAGTCTCCAGCATCTGTTCCTATAGAAGTTGTTTTAGTTTGTTTTTTGCTTTATAACAATATTTAGATAAACTCATACTATGTATTAAATCAGGGGTCCCCAATCCCTGGTCCACGGCCCATGCCAGTCCATAGCCATGGCTAGACTGGGCCATGGAGACAAATCTCCTGAACCCTTGCACACACTCCCCCATGCACCCCACACGCAAACACACTCGTTCTGCCCCCCAGGCATGTGCACAAGCGTAGCCCTTCCTTCCGCAAGCGTGCCCTGCCCCTCCGTGTTTTTTGAGTATTAAGGATAGGTTGGTGGCAGCAGTTTGAAGAAGAGTAGTGAGCACTCTGGGAGGCCTGAGTTGACAGAGGCTTCAGAGTGGCACGCTACATAGCCTTTCCTTCCACAAGCGTGCCCTGCCCCTCCGTGCATGCGCACAAGCGTGTCATGACTCTCTGCGAGTGTGGAGGTGCCCTGGCCATTCGTGCATGGACCCCGCTCCCCCACCAGTCTGTGATTCAGAAAAGGTTGGGGGCCTCTGTATTAAATAATCCAAAATGGTCCTGAGCACTTTTGCATATGAACAGAAACTGCTAGATTCCACTGGAGCAATACAGCAATAATCCAACATGAAAACGTCTAGGCCCTGAAATATGCAAATGAGATTATTAGCATATGGAAGCCATGCAACAGATTTTTCAAAGATCAGGCATTATAGAGGGCCTCCAGGAGCTTTTATGTTTTTGATAAGTGTCCCTAAAAATGTAGTATGGGTTCTGGCCATCTGCCCATTCAAATTTCTTAATTTGCATGCTTTATTCTAAAAATACTAATATAATTTCATTATGTAGAAGAACCTAATAAGGCAATATCTGATTTCTGTGAACTGAAACATTTTGCAATAGCACTTCTTTTAAGCAAACAACACTTACATAGGCCAGAGTTTGGTTGGGGAAGTGAAAATGCATGTGGTCCTGCTGCTGGTGGGCTGGCTTTGTATTCTTGGTTACATATTGTTTAAATTGTGTGTGCAGCCATTTTCACTTGTGGAAGCGAGCATAATTGCATGATTACTCTTGTGTGTATAATTTTTATTACAGAATTATAGTATTACAGAGTTTTTGAAAATAAAGCAGACAAATAAAGCAGAAAATCCTTTTTGCTTAAAAATTGAACAGTGTTTGATAAATGTAAACAAAATTCAAAATGAAATTAACCTTGCTTCTTTTTTTTTACAATGTACTTGGATCTATGAACTGAAAATCTAATGGCAGTTTCTGACAGTAAGAGTAAGATCATGTGACATCCACAATGAAATGAGTAGAGAAGAGAGAGAACAAAGTGCTGGGGGTCAGCTGACACAAGAGTGGTGATTATCTTCCATACATACCCTTTATCTGGGATTGATTTTGTTGGTTGCATATTTTTCTCTATAGGCAGGTTGCCAGGTTTCAATTCCTTACTTAATTTAATTTTAGGGTGATACAGTTTTATGTCCAAGTCTTCAGTAGTTGGTATTCCCCAAGCCAACCTATGAATATAACAGGTTGCACTGAGTTCTAAATCAATAAAGAAAGAGGAATTCTTCTAAGATAAGCAGAAGCACTGTTTATGAAAACCCATGTTTAATTGTAAAAAGTATGTTATGCATACTTATGGGGGCGGCAACCCAAAAGTTAAGATGAATGCATATTGCCTCCAGATAACAGGATTCATGTTTTTTCCCTAGAAAATTTGTTCCCAACTCCTCAGGTGTTCTTGCACTAAAACTCGTAGAAGCCTTCACCTCTAGCTGTGCTGGTTAGGATTTTTGGGAGTTGGAGTCCAAGAACTTCTGAGGACCCGTGGATGAGAACTACTGCCCTAGAACAAAAACCTTCTCAGAGATATGTGCCTTGGCAGTCAGACATGGATATTAAACTTATTTTTACTTTCTAATGGCCCATCTCAAAGCAAAGTGATAATATAAAGCTGCACTAAATGTGTGCTATGTTGTTGGTGAAAAACACATAGTCAATAAGGGAAATCATAAGATTTCGTCTAGAAGACATGAACAGGGCTGTTAATGAGTAGCTCTTTTGGAGATCATTATGGGCAATTCCACAATGCCCTCAGAAGATGGGAACATCAAGCCAGTTCTGTGTACTCTCTTCCAAGAAAATCCTGGAAAGAGTTACTGTAAATCAGAATTGGTTTGATGGACCATGATTATTATTTCATAGGGTGCCTTACATCTGAAGTAGCTATGGGTCCTCAGGTTTTTGCACTGAGACCCCCAGAATTCATCTAGATGCACTTTCAACGTTAATACTGCATCATTAGCAACAGTGCTATTTGTACAAGTCCTTTGCTTTTCACCATTGCTTTCGAATCTGGGATTGAGTGCTTTCCAACCTGGGAGTCTTACCTTTCAGCATTATCTGTTCTTTCATACTGGACTATCTACATGTGATTGGCGTAGAGCATGATGCCAGGGGCTACTTCCGATGGTGGGAAAGGTCATTGCACCTCACTAGGTAGCTACCGCCCACCTTAAGCTGGGCAGCCCCCAGCCAGTAAGGTGCTGTCTTGCCATGGTCTGTTAACCTCACAGGGTGCATGGGGTTTATGATGAAAGCTGACAAGCAGATCGATAGCCCTGCAACATGCAATAATAATAAGAAAATTTCTGCCCTAAAGTTGGGCACCTGGAATATTCAGACAATGACCCCTGGCTTTTCTGATGACCTGCAGGAAATAGATGACACACGCAAGACAGCTGTCATTGACATGGAATTGAGTAGGCTGCAGACAGACATTGTTGCTCTGGAAGAGACGAGATTGCCAGACATGGGATCTGTCAAATAAAAAAAATTCTCATTCTTCTGGCAGGGAAGACCATTGAATGAGACCAGGGAATGTGGTGTTGGCTTTGCAGTTAGAAATACTCTTCTGAGATCCATTGTTCCACCTACTGTGGGGAGTGAAAGAATCCTGTCTCTGCACCTCCGCTCATTAGCAGGACCAGTCATCATTATTAGTGCATATGCACAAAAACTGTCATCCACAGCAGAAGTGAAAGACAAATTCTATGACAATCTGGCAGCTACTATCAAGAAAATCACCATGAAAGAGCCGCTGTTCTCAGAGATTTTAACACTAGAGTTGGTGCTGATCACAATTCTTGGCCCACTTGTCTAGGCTGTTTAGCATTGGGAAGATGAATGAAAACGGCCAACATTTGCTAGAGTTTTGCTGTTATTATGGTCTTTCTGTCAGCAACACGTTCTTTAATATAAAGCTTCAATACAGAGTCTCTTGGAGACATACAAGATTGAATCATTGGCATCAGCTCGATCTGATCCTCACTAGATGACCTAGTCTTCGTAGTATTACGATCACACAGTTATCAGGGTGCTGATTGTGATACTGATCACTCCCTGGTGATCCCTTGATTCCAGCCATTGAGGAAAAGAGGAGAGCTCTAGCAGCATACAAAGCCTGTCCTAGTGAGTACAACTTGCAGGCTCTTCGAGTTGCTCGTAGCCAAGTCCAACAAACTGCCAGGAGATGTTCTAACGATTATTGGCATCAGCTCTGCTCTCAGATACAGAAAGCAGCAGACACAGGTAACATAAAGGGAATGTATAACAGTATCAAGCAGGCTTTAGGTCCAATA